TAAGGAAAATTGGGCTCGTACTGGGGTTCCCTCTTCTTGAGCGTTGGTGTTTCTGTCAAGTGTGCCTGTTTTTGTGTGATGAGAACTAAACAACTTAAGGTGGCTCGATACAGTTTTCCAGGGCCAATACCTCCCAAGTTTGAGCATAAACTACGTCGCCATAAACAAAGTTTTTAAAAAATTGCCACCACAGTTGTATTAGATAAAGATGAAATTTTGTTATGATCAGGGTTGCAACGGCATCGGAGTTGTCCTAGCAACGAAATGACGCTATTACCTATTTTACTTGCAGCAGTATATCTCGGCACTAGGAACTGTTCTTCCAAAATCGTTCACGGGAGCTTTTTCCTCCAATAGTGGCCTAGATGTTTGTGACGTTTAAGCGAAATCTGTAAGAGGGTTATCGAGATATTTTGGGATGAAGTTTTTATGGTTAGAAACACAGTAAAAAATGGATAATATTGTTGTTTGGCCGTTATCTGTAAAAAATGAAGAGCTTTTGACATGCAATTTCACCTCATAGTAGTTTCAATCTTTTTAAAAACGTGTGTGAAAGATCATTTAGATAGCTCCAACTGATTGCTAGAAAGAAGGGTTTGATTAGTATGTATCGAAGCGCTCTTGTTAGCGGTTTTGTAAACATTTTGGTCTTCTTTATCAAATTAGCGAATAATTTTTAAGCCGCTCGATAGATTTTTTAAAAAATTTAATATTCTTGAGATTAACCTTCCTTTTGTATGACCTTTTAGTTTCAAGATTATTGATACATTATAAGGCAGTAAAATAACGGCTACAATTCGCTACTTTTTTATTGGAAGTCTCGTCATTACAAGAGAAAGCCTCTCATTATTCAAGGCATTGTCTCCAAGTTTCATTTTCACGTGAACAGCAGTAACTAACAATGCATTTGACATATGCAAAACTGCTAGCTATTGTTGTGCACGAAAATATGAAACTTGGAGACAATACCCTGAATAATGAGAGGCTCCCACTTGTAAACACAAAATTTCAGCCAAAATATTAGCGAATTGTAGCCCTTATTTTACTGCCTTACAATATATCAATAATCTTGAAACTAAAAGGTCATATAAAAGGAAGGTTAATCTCAAGAATATTAAATTTTTTTAAAAATTTATCGAGCGGTTTAAAAATTATTCGCTAATTTGATAAAGAAGACCAAAATGTTTACAAAACCGCTAACAAGAGCGCTTCGATACATGCTAATCAAACTCTTCTTTCTAGCAATCGGTTGGAGCTATCTAAATGATCTTTCACACACGTTTTTAAAAAGATTGAAACTACTATGAGGTGAAATTGCATGTCAAAAGCTCTTCATTTTTTACAGATAACGGCCAAACAACAATATTGTCCATTTTTTACTGTGTTTCTAACCATAAAAACTTCATCCCAAAATATCTCGATAACCCTCTAACAGATTTCGCTTAAACTTCACAAACATCGAGGCCGCTATTGGAGGAAAAAGCTCCCGTGAACGATTTTGGAAGAACAGTTCCTAGTGCCGAGATATACTGCTGCAAGTAAAATAGGTAATAGCGTCATTTCGTTGCTAGGACAACTCCGATGCCATTGCAACCTTGATCATAACAAATTTTCATCTTTATCTAATACAACTGTGGTGGCAATTTTTTAAAAACTTTGTTTATGGCGACGTAGTTTATGCTCAAACTTGGGAGGTATTGGCCCTGGAAAACTGTATCGAGCCACCTTAAAGCCACCTCTAAACGATTAAACATATTTCATTTAACAACTTGTTTAAAGGGCATAATTCACTGTTAAGCGTCTCTCTCGTCCATTATTCTGCATCAAAGACAAGTGTTCAGCACACAAAGTTGTGCATGGAAAATACAATTACAGCCACCGTAAGCGAAAGATGCAGTCCGTGGTCTGCCACAGCATACTTTTTGATCGTGTTCCAGGCTCGGACGTTGCTTCGGGTCTATTAGTGTTATTATTATTATTTATTATTATTTTTCCTAATTTATACTTTATATAGTCTTCTTCTTAGAAATTGAAAGTAAAGTGCATTCAACTTTGAGTTGAATTTGCGCTAAAGAAGTGAATAAATTGTTATTATTATTATTATTATTATTGTTATTATTAATTGTCTTTATTTTATTTTTTTAAAACAGTTGAAAGAAACTTTTGAATTTTAGAGGCTGACATTTTTTTTTTTTATTGAAATGAAATGTTTTTAATTCGAATAAATTTGTCTTAGTTAAATTAACTTTTTCTAAGCTAAATTAAGTGCTTTTTAAATGGACAGGAATTGTAAATAGTGTTTTGAATGAATATTTTTTTCTTTTTTTCAAGTGAATGAATTGTAAGTAGGATTTTAATAGTTAGCATTGTTGTCAATAAAATTTTTTCATTATTTTACCGTGAAAAATTTTATTGTTATTATTAGTATTATTATTATTATTATTATTATTATTATTATCATTATTATATCCCATCCAATGGTTCCAGTTCGCTGACGATGCCGCTGTCATAAGAGGTCAGGAGTCAGAAAATCAACATCTAATCAACCACTTTATAATCTGGCGTAATTGGTCGAACATGAAAATAAGAGTTGATAAATGTTCTACTTTTAATTTGGAATACGGAAACTGTGCACCAAATCTGTCCAATATTTACCCAAACTGTTGATCAATGGAGTTCTAATTCCCTGTGTGGAAATGGGTGAATCATTTCGTTACTTAGGTCGCTTCTTTGACTTCAACATGTCTAACAACCAACACATGTCTGAATTGTCCTCTCTTGTACAAGACTTGATGAATGACATCGATATAAAGCCACTACATCCTAAACACAAACTTCTTCTGTACAGCCGCTATGTCCTATCTAAATTGTCCTGGCATTTCACTATAGCTAATATATCCAAAACCTGGATAACGGAACATCTCGACTCTGTAGTGAATGGCTATATTCGAAAATGTCTTGATATTCCGATATCTGGAAGACTGAGCAATGTTTTCCCAGACCCTTTATTAAATTTACTCAGTGCCAAAAAGTTCTCCGAAATTCATTAAAAGAGTCACCAAATGATCCCTTAAAAGATCTCTGGAAATCGTCAAGCTGTCACACTAATATTCAATATGATGTGTACAAATCCACTAAGGAAGTTCGTAAAGATTTCCGTTCTAATCAAGAGGATAAACTGCAACACCACCTAACATCTCAAGGTTTCTTCTTCTCAAATGTTATCAAGTACTCATTGTCATCTGTAAATTCTATTTGGTCAGAGGCTCAGTCTCATCTACCCAAGAACATTTACAATTTTACCATCCGCTACATCAACAACTCCCTCCCTACACGTAAGAATATGGCAAGATGGGGTTTATCACAAAGTCCTGATTGCTCCTTTTGCCTTAATCCTGAATCACTCCTTCATGTTGTCGCTGGTTGTCAACAGTACCTTCATCGCTTTAGATGGAGACACGACGCAATCCTTAAATTCATTGCCAAGTCACTTCAACCTGGCTCTTCACTCTATGCCGATGTTAATGGTTTTCTGAATCCCTCAATAATAACTGGTGAAAGTTATCGTCCAGACCTTCTTTACCTAATCCAGTCCAAGTGCCTATATGTTCTAGAATTTAATAACAGTTGGTTTCGAGTCTCACCTTAACAACAATGCAGTGCGTAAGAAAGAAAAACATCTGATAGTCTATGAACTTGATAAACAAAATGAGTAGAAATTACAGATGTGTGAGATTTGTAAATCTCTCCATGAGTTCCCTTAGCGTTTTCTCCGATGAATGCTCCACGTTCTTAGACATGATGAATGACACTGGCATTGACAAAAAGCAGCAACGTTATATAATCAAGAAAATGATAAATATAGTCATTAGAGCAACATATTACATCTTTTGTTTTAGAAATAGGAACTGGGATAGCCCAGACTTAATGCAATTTTGATTTTTTTTTTTGCTTTTGTTTCGTTTTGTTTTTGTTTTTGTTTTTTGTTGTTTTTGTTTTGTTTTGTTTTTTCTTTTTAATAATCCAATCTCAAGCAGCATTTGTAAATTGCCTTTACGTAGCGAGATTTACCATTGTACGTTCAAAAACACAAATAAAGTTTCCATAGCTAAAGAGCTTTATTTTCAATATTTATTTACCCGCTGTCGAGGGCCGGGACTGGCTTGTTCATGATAAAACTTATAATATGTTGCTAACTGTCAAGATTACAAGCAAACTTGAAGACGTCGCATGGGTGTATTTCCTTTTTCTTTTTGCCACTAGACTTTAAGAAGATGTTTTTAATACGATAAAAGATCAGAACTGTCATCCGATAAATCTTCCACGCTTGCTGCGGCCATTGTTGGCAGCAATTTCAAATCGTGCGTCTGTGACCCAACATGTGACACTGATAATAGCTCTGCTCTGATTGGATATTACTAAGAAGGCGTAAAAAATATTCCCTGAAAGCTATTTTTATAAATAATTTTTCAGGGGAAAGGTTGACTCCAAGGGCTTATATGGGAGATGAAGGCTCTTACTAATCGGCTCCTGGTTCAGAAGACGTTCGTGCTAGAACGGAACGCTCAACGAAGCTCTATAAAAGAACGTCTACGTAAGTCACTACTAAGTTTCATCTTGTTAACAAAAGATTGCCTATAAAATCGCTAGCAAGAATTTCCATAACTGGTGACATAGTTTTTATGCATAAATGACTAAACTCTGTCTCACTTCGTGTATATGCAGTAGTTTTTCAACTCTGACTCTCCGTCCTCAATAGTCAAAACATCAGCACCGTAGCAGGGAGTACGGGGCACGCAACACCTTCTGGAAGATCCGTCCGCCTTTTTGTCTTTTTGGGACCCCGGCGACGAAGCCCATTTCATGATTCGGCTTTGCCACAGGTGGGCCAATAACGAGGGTTACACATGAGTTACACAGGGGTCGCTTTTTATCAGGGACCAGTGTCTTCAAAACTAAAACTAAATAGATCGTCGCAAATATTAATCTTTCTTGATTAACTTCTTTATTCTGATTGCTTGCAACCAGTAACAACACGAACCGACGAACCACGATTTACATCCAAGTCTTTAAAACCTGAATTTTCATTACATCCCCAACAATATTGAGTTTATTCGTATGAAATGCACCAAGACCTTTGCTACATTGAACCAAAAACCAAGAAAACAAGCTTAAGGGTTGTATGAGACGAAATCGAACGTCTTGATTGGATTGTCCATTAAGAATCACGAATGATGTTTCTTTGCATGCGAAGAAGATATTTCAGATAGTCCAATAAAAGCCTCAAAGATCATGCATGAGATTCGCGGCAATTTTTATAGTTAGTTGCAGCGCACCTGCATTTTGAGTGAATTTAACATTGTTTAGATTTAAGCAGAGAAATACGTCTGCGTTTGCAGGCTACCTGGAAAGTAACATTGGCTAAAAAGTTGATAAAAATAATGCCAAAGAAACGTCATTTATTTTTTCAATAGAGCCATTTTGTATTTAGTTATACAGCAATCTTGCAATGTTTCGTGCCATCCGATTTTCCTTGTTTCGTGAGGTGTAGCGAGACAGTTTTACTATAAAGCCTTTTGTCCAATAATTTAATGTAGGTTCTTGAACGGAGCTTCATACGGTTAGCTTGTTGCTAATCAAGTTAAAAAGCACTACGCCAAGTCACTATTTTCTACAGTAAATTGCTTTTTATGATTGCTAAATTGCCGCTATAGTAATCATTGACAAAATGATGGCCAGTTTACACAGTTTAACAAAACACAGGGATTTTCTGCATTTGCACTCCTCCCATCACCTGCAAATCAACCATGCTAACAATGTTGCCCGTCCCGGCAGAACATGACTTGGATAGTTCGGAGATCTCTTGTTCACTCAGCACGCGATCCCAAACATTGATGCCTGCCATTTCTCCGATGAAGCTGCCCCACTTTGAATCCAGAAAATGTTCGTAACATTGCCCATATACCAAATTGCCCTCGACACCTATTGCACCTGTGTAAACAACAACAGCAACTGACACTTTTTCTTATATGTCTCTACCAATAGCAAAGCAGTAAAGGTAGACTTTGCATGAGTGGATTTTCGATCTCACAACGATTATTAATAATGATCAAGCGTAAAAGCATTTACAATCACTTGGGACTGATAATTTGATAATGCATCCTTCAAAATTAGTAATGGTAACAGGACTGAGTGGAGTCCAATTCGGTCTGTAATCATACGAGTGATTAACAAAATCGGACGACCGCGTAGTTCTGTTACCAATTAATCATAACTTTAACAAAATTTGTGATACAATAGGCTATTTTTAAACCAAAACACAAGAAATTCGAAATCCTGTTTTGCTAGCAGTGAAAAAAAAAAGCCATTTAAGCGCGCGCGTGATGGCGCGTACTGTCCAATTACTTAGGCATGACGCGTACTGTCCTATTAAACTGTCCAATTAAGGCTGAAATCAGGGCAGTTGAGAGCCAATCAGATTTGACAATTTTGTTATAGTTATGATTATCATGATTATCTTTATGATTATCATTATCATCCTCCTTCTGCATTATCATAAAAATATGTCGATTGTTTAAAGTAAAGACTTTTTCACAAGAGAAGCAAATCACCTTGCAGTTGGAATTTACCCGCCAATGTTCCATTTATATACACCTTCAATTCCCCTGGTTCCATTGTTGAGCAGTAGTGGCTCCACTCGTTAAAATGAACGTATTCACCGGAAGAAGCACTGTTGAAATGATCAAAACTAAAAGTTTGTTTTGCTCTTCATTATACCGGGATAAAAGTTTTTATTAAATGGCGAATAGGCCTAGGCCAAACGTCGAACTTTTCACGAGACGAACCAAACTCCAATTTGGGTCGACCTAAATTAAGCTAAGATCATCTGTTGGGTTAGACGTCGAACTTAGGATGCGTCGAACCAATCAACCGAATCAGACCAAAAAGCAATTTTTGTCGAAGGCTAAATTTACATTCTCAAACAAATTTTTGGTTTATTAGTTTTTTTACTCGACTTTTGTCCTGGAGACGATCTTCAGACGGTCTATCCGAAGGATAGAACGTGTCATTAAAGATTTTTGCATTATAAAGAACAGTCACTAAGGCCAAACAACATTCTTTAGTGCGAATGAAGTTTCTTTTTCCTTGTGTGAATATCAAAAGCAATTATTGGATTTTCATGAGCATCATCTTTACAATATTGCTTTTTTGAGGCACGCTTTCATTCATTCGTGTTAGATACGTACAATAAATGTGCAGTCAATGTAATCGGGAGACAGGAAGATAAATAAAAATAACGAAGGCAATAGCATCAAAAGGTTTTTTAGGGGTCCAGGCAACTCAAAACTCCACGATATCGAGAAAGCGAGCATATTGACTATTTTCGAATTCCCCATAATTCACTCTGTTTGCCCCCCAAATTTTGCATAATTATAAGTTATTGTTTTCAAATGTTCTTGGGAAAATGCAGTACTCCCAGGAGCATTTGAAATAGTGGTTTATGCAAAATTTGGGGGGCAAACGGAATGTACAATGGAACATGACGTTTATTTCCAACACTAATAACAATATAATGATGATCTTTCTTCAAACAATACTAATAACCTCTGTTGAAAATGATAATGTACACATGTTAACGATAATTTAGATGCTGCAAATGTTTCTTCATTCTTTTGAATGATTTTTATTTCCATTAAGTCAGAAATTTATTGGCATTTTTGAGTTTCCTTGTCTATGTAAAAATCTTTATTGACCACACGGGAAAATTAATTTATGTTTGTTTTTTCCTGCAATGATTACACACTCACTCAACTGATTTTTCTCAACTGATTTTTTTACTCGAATTTTTCCCGTTGATGAAAGACAAAAGGTATATTTTCTGAAGCAATTATTTCGAATTCGCAACGTCTAGTTCTCAGCTTTTTCGAAGCCTTGGAATTCTTGTAAAACCTACAACTAACCCCGTAATTTCGTAAAAGGGTCGTAAAAGGAGTTTCTGGAACGGTTCACAGACCAAAAAGACAACGAATCACGAATCAGGGAGATGAAAATGTCATTCAGTTTTTGCGTTATGATAATCAGCCCGTTACGTACAATGTACCGTTGTTGTTGTTATTGTTGTTGTTGTTATCTTGTTCTTTTGCAAAGACAAAAAAAGTGGAAAAAGAGTGTCTGACAAAACAGCACCTAAGTGGCGAAAAGGAAGGGAAGGTACATTTGGGGGATGGGCCGGGGCATTTTCGTAAAAAACAAATTTGGCTCTCCCACTTCCTGGAATAGATTGATACACGACCCTCCCACACCTATTCAACACAACAAGAACCGGAAGAGAAAATAACTAAGCGGAAAAATTACTGACCCAACCGCGTTGTGGTGGCTCCGTCTGCACACAAAGCGTCTAATCGCGTGGCCTTTGATTGTACGCTGGAAACTTGAAAATGGGGAAGGGTATACAAAAAGATTGTGGAGTAGCAAACCCCCCCTCCGTGATCAAGAAGAGTTGCGCAGATATCGGCAATACTCGGAGGAACTTCGTGGCTTATGTACCCGAGCGCATGACTGTGCGTTCTATGTCATGGATTCGACAACAGGCGTCGATATCATGTCTGTGGCTGGGGCTGACAAATGCCCTTTCAGTAAGTACGAACATTAACAATTGCGCTATCATTCTACCTTTTCATGATCCTAGCCACAGCCCTTCGGTTTCTGTTTTGTTTACCTTCAGCAAGGAAAAGGTGCTAAAGTTTCGAGCAGAGAGAGTAGGATTATAGCACAGGACTCGTCGTGAATAAAGGCGGTGGTATCATCAGCATGTAAACTAAGAATAGTCACCTTATTCCCATTCTGAGTCCTTTGATCGAATTGTTCGACATTCAGATCTGATTAGCAAGAGGTTCCACACCAACATCGAAAAGTAAACCTGAGAGAGGGTATCCTTGCCTCAACCCTCTTTGTAGCAAAAAGAAATTTGAAGCGTAACCATTCTTACAACGTGGCTCGTGATGTTATGATAGAATGTACGGATCTAGTTGCCGAAATATATTTGGGCCAAAATTCGTTGCGTCTAGAACCTCGAAGAGGTACTCCCATTCCGGGGAGTCCAAAGACTTCTCAGAATCTAAAAAAAGAATCATTCCTTCTTCTTTTCCGTTTTGTTTGATAATGTCAGAAAATAGATGGATGTTTTCGCCTTTAAATCTACCCTTGATGTAACCTGCTTGGTCTCTTCGATTCCTATGAGATGGGGAAGAACGTTTTCGATCCGTTTTGCGATACATTTCGTTGTAAGTTTGTAATCTGTGTTTCTGAAGAGAGAGATAGGCCGCCAGTTTTCAAGACGTAGAGGATATTCGTTTGTGGAATCAAAGAAATGATTCCTTGTCTTGGGAGATGGAGAGCTCTCCCAAAAAGCGCCCCATGATTGAAAGAGTCCAAAAAAAAGTTGGAGGTTGGAGATCTCATTCCAGAAACAAAGATAGAACTTCGCTCAAAAAAACATCCGTTCCAGGGGTCGTATTACGTTGAAATGATTTCAGGACAAATAAACATTCTTCCTCGTGTAATCAGACCCTCACAGAAGCCTTGCTTAGACTACCTAGCTTTGGCAACGATGCAAGTTTGAGAAAGTTGGAAAGGACAGCAGGTGTACTGTGGCCTTGCGAGGAATAGAGTTGTTGATGAAAGTGTCTCATTTCACCTAAAATTAGTTTTGGATCCACCGTGACCGAACCTTCAGCATGTTTCAATTTTGTCATATGCTTTTTGCTATAGCTTGTTTTCGCAAGATTGAAAAAGCATTGTATTACATTTTTCACTCGATTCATACCACCGACAGCTTCGGACAATGGAACTTTTAGTTTTTTGTTTAGCAATTTGGTCTAATTTTATTTTTAGCCTTCGTGATTCGCTGACGAGGTGATTGTCATTTGGAGATCCATCAATTTTAGCATTCAGATTCTCAAGTTTTCGAAGAAGTTCCAGCTCCGTATTTATTTTGTCCCTGGCACTTTTTTTTGACGAATTGAATAGAGAAAATCCTAGGCTAATCTCCATTTTCACCATTCCCCAAAAGATCGTAGCGTCAGTAACATCTTTGTATTTCTCCTTGGCGTTGAAAATAATAAACTTCATTTTTTCTTAAAACAAATTCTTCGTATTCAAGCAAAGAGTTGTTGATCTTTGAAAAACCTGGCCCTCTTTGTCCTTGCTTTTCTTCTGGACCAGTTCATATGGTGACGGGGGAGTGATCCGAATCACAGTAGGCGTATTGCCAGTTTTAATAACACGGCACAGTAATTGTTTCGAAATTAACCAAAAATCTAGTCGACATTTAATCTTACCCGAAGAATTTGCCCAGGAAAAGCGTTTCTCATTGTGGTGTTGAAATCGCCAAGCGTCGACTAGATTAAAGTTAATGCAAAGGATCTTGGATCGATTGGATTGCTCTTTTCCTATGGAGAATGTCTTTGCCTCCGACTTTATTAAAGTCACCAAATACCTACTAAGATCTTGCTGGATAAATTGTGACGAATCTGTTCAAGAATCGTTGCAAAAAAGTCTACTTGCTCGGTTTGGTCACTTGGAGCGTAAATACTGACCAAACATAGTTCGTCTTGGTTGATATTTACGTTTGTGAAAGAAAGCGGTCGTTTTTGTCTGCGGTTGTTTTTAGGACATCGACTTTTAAAGAGTACTGTTTAAAAAAGAATCATCACACCTTTACTGTGTTTGGAGCCATGAGCGAACAGTATTTCACCTCCCTACTGTGCACGCCAAACGACCTCTGAACCGGAATCAGCATATGTTTCTTGCCGAAAAATCAGAGTCGGCCAGGGGGGGTAGTGGTATACCAGTATACCCGAAAAAAATTCGCCAAAATACCCAAAAATACCCAAAATTCATCCAAATATACCCAAAATTATACCCAGGTATACTTTATACCTGAAATTCAAAGAAAGTAATGTAACGAATACCCGTATTTAAGCTGCAATATACCGTATACCCGATTTAAAAAGCCCCTGTATACCGTATACCCAAAAACCCTGGCCGGCCCTAAAAAATTATATCAAATTTACTGTGATGAAGCCACCGAAAAAGATTCCTTCTTTTTATGCATTTATTGAGACTCTTTACTTTCAAAGAAACTGCTTTCATTGCCATATTCGGATAGATTGAAGCCGATTTCCAAACGTTTCAACCTCGAATCCAAATTGTGATAGCGTTAAGATCTGAAAGACATTGTAAGTTGCAAATGATGTGTCCAATGCCAATTAGAATGCACAAACGTGACTGATATAGAGAAATAAATAACCTAGAATACAGAAAGGCAAGTAAAAACCAACCCATATAACAGTATAAGTACTAATTAAGCTGCGGAACAGCTTATTGTATAGGAAGAGCCATTTGAAAATGTAAAAAAAGCGTGTGGATTCTTAGGCAAGAAACTAGAAAAGCCTTCCTAGGGGCTTATATCAGGGGGGGGGGGTTATAACTGGACTGAAAAAAAAAACTACATGGCAGTTCAGATCAAAATATGTTTTGAAGTTACTCGCCTTTTTAAGCTTCAAAAAGTCGTAAATTTATTTTAATACAAGGTAGAAGGGGGCAAATATGGGGGGGGGGTCTTACAGGTAGATGGGCTTATAACTGCAGGGGGGCTTATAAGTAAAGTCGTTGCGGGGGATCTATAAGCGGAAGGTTACAGTATTCAATGTGTCTAGGGAAGTCTCTACGAAGAGACCCCCTATGGTTCGATAATCGTAGACTACATAACCTCTCAAGTCTCATCGCATTTTGGGTGGACGCTCAAGGTAGCCCGGGGTGTACTTGGGTTAACTTTGCTGGGTATGTGCCGCTTGCCTCTCAGAGCCCCTACCCCATTACAGTCTATTCTGTGGCCAATTATAGACCCCATCTTAGTCACTTTTGGGCAAATATGCAATTTTCGCGATCCCGACTTAGTCACTTTCTATTTATGTATCACTATATACTGAATGAAGAACACTTTACTTTTCACCCACAGTACAAACATTCTGGTACGTTTGCTAACCGTAAATATGAAGAATTCTCTTACCCTAAAAATCAGAAAATGTGCGACCCCATTCTAGTTACTCTATTGAAAATGCGATCCCATTATAGTCAATTCAGTCGTGAAAATGCGACCCCATCCAGCGTCACATTCCCATTAGCCTCTTATAAGGAAGTACCCCCCCGGACAAGGTAGGTTCGATCGTAATGGTCTCGAACCGTTAGTATTGTTAAACAAGTGAAAGGTACTTTTATTGTAGAAATGTCTTAGACGGGAGATGCAGCCTGTAAGCCCAGGTTACCGGATGTTTTATTTTATTTCTTCCTAATAATTAATTCCTGATAGTTCGCGGCGAAGCGGCGACAGCGACGCGCGAGACGTTGAGGGAGGGAAGGAGAGAAAAAGGAAAAAAAAAACGTCTATGGAGCTTTATCAAACTGAGCACACGGTTATTTCTTCCTAGGTGTTTCGAGAAAGGACCTCTGGAGCAGAGTACAGCCAGTGCAGCTTTTTTCAGTGAAGGGAGGCTCATTAAGATCTTTGTGCGCATGTTCATAAACTTTAAAAGTTTTAACAAGTTGTCGAAGAGCTGGCTCGTATCCAGGCGGGCGCAGTCGCGTTTTCAGTTTTTCCAACACTTGAGACTCCTGGTAATGTGGCAGGTCAAAGAGTACGCTATCAGAACTTGTTATGGACGACTTTAACGAGTGTGTTGGGTCTTGCTGTTGACTTGAGTCAGGGACCAAGGCTTAAAACTAAGAGTGATCCTTCCACGCCGGCCTTAAGTCAATACCAGGTAAAGAAGGATAATAGTACAGTCGAACGGCTCCTCTTCTGCCACTTTGGGTACAGAAGAAAGTGGAGAGGAGAGGTGGCTGTTATGTGGAAGTACGTAGTGGTGTAATATGACAAATTTTGTTTCAGGAAGTACAACATGTTTATTGTTGCTAAGTTCATGCTTACTGTATCCCATAATGGTAGTCCAATCATATATCATATATAGAGATAATATACACAAGAAAACTTGAATAATGTTTTGAATCAAAATGTAAGAGTGACAAATCGAGCAAGATTCGCAACATTCGCAATAAGTATCGCAGATAGTTTATGCTTACTGCAGCAGTATAAATTGAACACAATCAAAATACTATTGCCGCGATTGATCAACAACCCACCAAACGGATCAAATTTCATGACCGTTCTTGATTTTCCATAAGACGCTGGCCGTTGTAGAGAGGTGGTTAATTTTGGCATTTGGGGACTACGCTCGGCTAGTGGCCGTTGCCGCGTGTAGAGAGGTGGCCGTTGTAGAGAGGTTTAAGCATGAGGCAATAATGTATGGACTGTAAACCGGAAGAAAAAAAAGTGGCCGCGGTGGAGAGCTGGCCGATAGTGGAGGTTCGACTGTATTAACCAAAATGGTGTGAGTATTCTATAGTAAAATGTTATGTTTATGAAATGGATGTTAAGTTTTGAGATCCTAGAAAGAAGGTCACACACTCTTAAAGAAAGCTTCTCTAGAAAGCCAGTGATCAGGGGCACCCAACGAGAATATAGTTCAAAACCACTTAAACATAGCATTGATAAACGTATTTTAGTATTTAAACGGTAGATATAGGCATGTTGTTATCCCCTAAAAATTTTTCATCTGTTCGGATTTCCTAGCTAAAGTCTAGTGATCCGAAAATTATAGGGATCGAAACTTACCTTTTCGAAAATTTCAGCCAGAAAAAAGGCTCCCGACAATTCTAGCTGACCTCAGCTTAGGGTAAAAATCTGTTAAAAATGGGCAATCACACCATTTTTTAGATGTTCGAAAATCCTAGGAGAGGCAGGCAAGCAATAAATTTTACAATAAATGCTCCGAAAATTCTAGACCTCAGATCGTCTTCCGAACAAATATTTTCCGAAAATTGACGTTGGGTGCCCACATGACGTCACCAAAATTCAAACTAAGAAATTATCGCTTCTTCTGAGTTTCTACTTTTATGTGATATTAGAGCACCTGAAAACCTTTATACAAACCAATTTTCGGTTCAAAAGGGTTCTTTGTTTTGCGATACAGGACGCTTGAATTTCCAGGCTTTTGCGTGACGCGGCATTTAGCTGGCGGCCGGGAAAGCTCTTATGTGGGTTAAAAACATTACGGATTTTTGGAGATTTTGCTATCTAAACATTCCTTGTCTTAGAATAAATATTGCTTTAATCTTTATGAGTTCCTCAAGCGAAGAATTCACGCATAAGTAGGAAAACTCAAAAACAGATGTTTCTGTTGGTTTCCGGCGGCCATATTTGTGCCCCTGAAAGGGACACAAACATGGCGTCTCCATACAAAGCTTTATAAATTTGGGTAAAACGTTTTTCCGAATATCTCGCATATGAACTATTGCATAGACCTGACTCTTGGCAAGGCTTTTTGTATATTTATCTTCTTTCATTTCCCAGATTCTAGACTTTCTGTATTAAAAGGTTTCCATTTTTATTTCTGCTTTCTCACGTGAGTGAAAACCAAGAATTGATATAAACTAACAATTAACAACCGTTCAGGATCGTAGCGAAAATTAACGCTCGAACGTACACGCAAATTCATACCCCCACCGTGGTACCAAAGGGTTGATAGAACCCATCCCTAGAGTTTTTGATATGTTGCAGTATTTCGAAACGATTTTACCTTCAGTGGAAAGCCTTTGATCTTCTCATCAAGATGAGGTATATTTTATGGGTGGTGGCGCTGCTGGAGGCCTGTGACGTCACCAACAATGGTCACCTTCTTGGATTTTACCAGGTATTAGAAATCAAGTAAAACGGCAAGAAATGGTAATTTTTGTGCTTGACAAGTAAAATAACATATAAACAGGCATTTTGCATCATTTTATCCACACTCTTTACTTTTATTGTTGAACGAAGTTGAGAAAACATGCATTTTGACTCAAAAATGGCTTGACCACCTGCTACGGCACATATCGAAACCATAGTAACTGACCACCACTAAACGTGTCTAAAAATGCGTGCGAGGGATAAACGAACAGCTACTGAAAACTTCAGGTGCTGATGTTCAATCGTCTAGGAAGAAACTTAGAAGAACCCCGGCGGGGGAGGGGCGGGGGGGGTGGAAACCACCCTCTTCCCTTGTACGTCCGAGGGTAAGAAAGCGAGAGTAAATGACTTGTCGACCTGCAACTGACAGCAGTATAAATAGTTAAGACTACAATAAATAGGTTCCATTACCTTAATTTGAATCTTCCGCCAAAAAATCGAAGATCCTTTCCATATCGGAGCATTTCCAAGTCTAAATCTCGATTGCTGAAAACACAATCAAGATCTCGAGAAGAATCTTTAAATTTGACCCAGATACATGATGTTAATGCATCCAATGGTTTTCCCCAGCTTCCAGCTCTCAAGGAAGTCATTATATCCCCCGGGACTTTTAAAAAGGATTCCTTCTGTTTTAGCTGACTCACAAGCTATAAGAGAAAGTAACATGTCATACTGTAACTTGAGTTTGATCGTCCGGGTGAACGTAGTCCTGAATAGGACTGTTGTTGTTGACAGTGACTGACGTTTCGACAACCTGTGCGGTAGTCATCTTCAGAGTCAAAGTGAGTTGTATCACGTCAGTTGATGGTATTATACTCTGGTTATTGGTCTGATTGGTCAATTACGTCGCGATGTTATTGGTCGTCTGTCAGTTGAGCCTTGATGTTATTGGCTCAAAAGACTCGTAATCAGTAATTGGTGCATTTCGATCCGTCTATTGTCACAGTTAAACAGTCGTCAATTGTTAGTCAAATTGTCAGTTCTCCAGTCATTCTCTTGTAGTTAGTTTGCGTGATTTCGTCAATAAGTCGTTTGTACGGCGCTGGTAACTGTTGGCTACGATTCAGTTGTGTTTGTTCTAAGTCAGTAAACCAGCTTTCTAAAGTAAGACGTTGATTGGGGCTCTGCGACATGTATAACGTATTGCTACAGACTACTATCAACGTCTTACTTATCAACTTCTTCTTCTTCTTCACTTTGACTCTGAAAATGACTACCGCACAGGTTGTCGAAACGTCACTCACTGTCAACAACAACAGTCCTGAACGATCAAACTCAAGCTATTTTTGAAATGACTCCTAGGTTCAAACCTTTCACAGTTATACTGTAACTGAAGGCAATACTGAGATTTTAAAAGACCCTTTGACACTTCCCATAAGGCTTCGCGCATTGTTTATTTTGATTTCAACGGACGAGAAGAAATTATGGCGTCTCATCACGAGGAAGAAGTGAACGCCGTCTTCAAATTTTCGGTAGTCAGAGTCCTTGTCGCAAATTTCGGCTTCTTATCATACATTTAGTTTCATTATAAACCGTACGCGTGTAAAAAATGGAAAACAGATGATAGGTTGAGAGGAGATGAAATCTTATAAGAGGTCTGGGTTCAAGTTAGGGTAAGGATTATTAGCCTATGCCTAATTTTGGTTTCAACCGCTTTGTTTCTATAACAAGCGCGTTTCCTCTCCGTCTTCCCTCTTCACGCGACATGGTGATGAAAGCTCTTTGTAGTAGAATTATTCAAAAGGTAGCTCTTATTGATAAATATTTTAAACCGAAAGATTTTAGACGTAGGTTTCGTCTCCCTCTTCAGTCTTCAAGCGTTACGCCCAGAATTCTGAAGTGATGAAAACAATTTTTAGAAGAATTATTAAAGATAGCCCCTTGAGACAAAGTATTTAAATCAAAACGTTTTTATATGTAAAATTTCCTCTCCGTGTTCGGTCTTCAGGGGGCCCCCAAGTTTCTGAGCTGACGATATCCATTTGTAATAGAATTAATAAAGACAGCGCTTAATTTCAAATATTACCTAATGGCTTACGATCCCCGCCAAAATTCATTGTTTGAATTTAAACTCATCATTTACATTTCTACTTGAATTTTATAGCCGAATATAAAATTTTACACTCTTCCTTCAGATTTCGCATCATTGGAAAACGTTTTTACACTCGTCTTTTATTTTTTAAACTCAACTCTTTTATTTGACCTTGCTCGGCGAAAAGTTTCAACACGACTTCTGAATTTTCGTTCACGCTACAGTGATCGTTGATCAAGACCATCTGTCGAGGGGTGGGTCGTGGGTGGTTCTTTAGTCCATCATGCTTTGCGCCTTTTGTACAAACATGGCGGCAGCGTTCGCACTTGCTAAATAAATAAATAAAAATAAATAAAGTGTCTTTATTGCTCAAAAGATAAAATTACACATCTTATGTTACATTTAAATATAACAATGTTAATGGGCTAAAGTATGTCTCTAAACAAGATTAGTATATACATAGAAACAAATAACAAGCGCCGTTGTACAAGAAACTTTGGAGCGTTTAGATTCCTATCAGGACGGTGATTATAGCGGAATTTTGCTTCGATTGGAGTACTTAAATCGTATTATCATAAATTGTGGGGATTTCCCGGTTCTATCGTGGCTGGCATAGGATCCGCCATTACATGATCGAGCGCACAGAGATAGGTGGAAGGTACTGACAGGCCAAACACGACTCATAAGCTCGTGATAGTGTGATACGTGACCTTATAGTTTTGCTCTAACGAGGATATCTCTCAGCGATTTTGCTCTTTTATATGAAATAACGGGAGGCTCATTTCTCTCAGTAGTGGTTGATGTTAATGACATCTCTCACATGAAAGACAAAATAGAGAGCTCCGAACAATCAGTCATTAAACTGAAAAGACACATGGAAAACAGCACTTGTCCGCCAGACTTGCGTTACGACGCAAAAGCGAACATTTTTCCAGACGAGGACTTTAAGTCCGACATTATCCGAAAGGAGGCTTAGCAGAAATTTCTATCGACCGCAACCAGGCACAATTGCGAAAAGCCAAATCTTGTAATAAGAATACATCAGTTTAAGCAAGCAAAAGTCAATCTGACTCATGTAAAATTCCAGAAAGTTTAAAAGCAGTCACGGCTAACCTAGAGAAACGTCTTGAAGAAGTAAATGAAATGTTGTACGACCTTAAAGGACTCTTAAAGAGGCAAACAATAAAACTGTTGAAACTTACACTTCTGATTACACTCGTGTGGTCTCTGAGCCAGGGTCAAGGAATAAGAAGGACTACGGGATTAGAAAGCGCAAATTTAAGACCAAAAAGCACACAGAAAGAAAACCCGCAAAGATATTAGAGCTATGAAAACAGAATCCAATAGAAAATACATAAAGGACCTCTCCAATCTAGAACTTACAAATGATCAGATAAATCTTCTCTCTCGTGGATTAAAATTTGTCCCTATGCCAATAACAAACGAAACCGCATTAAGAAAACAACTCCTTATACAGACTTCAAAGATTTTGCTAGGAGAATGTGGCTCCAGTTTATATATCACGGCAAGGATAAAACATCCACCCCTTTTACGTGAAGTCAAACTGGGAACCACCAGTTCAGCAGTCTGTCACCCTAGAAAGCTATCTAGAGGAAATTAAAATACAACTTGCGCACACACCGATAACCAAAGCTATACCCAACCTACCACTAAATGAGAGAAAAGCTATGACAGAGCTAAAAAATAACTCTGAAATAAACGTCACTAAAGCGGATAAAGGTACTACCACAGTCATAATAAACAAACTAAATAAAACACAAGAGGGGCAGACCCTACTAGACAATGGAAACAACTACACACCCCTCGAAGACCCCATGGCAAGGGCAACTTTCCAAAAAGTAAAAAAAAATAGTCGAAGAACTACATCAGGGAAGTTTCATTGTCGAAATGACTGTTAAATGGTTATCACAGACACCTAACCCACCCAGAATACCTGTCTTCTACAGTCTCACAAAGATTCATAAGCTAACTCCTGTTGGCCGACCTATGGTGGCAGGAAACGACGGACCCACCGAACGAATATCATCATTCGTTGATGGCCTACCAAAGAACGAAGGTCAGCTCTAACACCACAAACACGATCACCTGTAAAAGAACTAACATCTGACAATGCCAAGCGAATAACTTTCCTAATATGGAAATAAGTAAATTCGCGAACTAAGCATAACTTCAAGTACAAGTAAAGACAAAAGATCAAAACAGGAAAACATGTACGCATGGCCAAAAACAAGACTTAATGAAACAAAAACTAAACTTAAAAGATAAGATAGATCTGTCTTAAAAATAACTTTCAAAATACTTCACAACAGATTTCACAACCAAGGAATCCTTGACATCCGCACACATTTTAAACCTACAGAGACTTTTTTCAATACACGCATTTCTCTTCCTGTAACCCTCACAGGGTCAGAAAAGGTCTCATAAAGCAAGGGCGAAGCCCTTAGACTTCTGAGAACTAACTCCTCAGCTAAATCCTTCTATGAGAACATCTACAACTTCAAAAAACGCCTTCACGCCAGAGGCTACCCTCACAATCTGATAGAAAAAATTTTAATGAGCAAATGGCACTTACTTCAAGATCAACCACTACAGAGAGAAATATACAACGAGCCTCCCATCATTTCATATAAACGAGCAAAATCGCTGGGAGGTATCCTCGTTAGAGCAAAACTACAAGGTCACGTATCAAAAACAGATGGTCTTGATCAACGATCACTGAAGCGTGAATGAAAATTCAGAAGTCGGCGCGTTGAAAATTTTCAAGGATGACTCGGCAAGTGTAATTTGATGAAGCGAGTTGAAAATATACGGCGAGCAAAGTCAAATAAAAGAGTTGAGTTTAAAAAATAAAAGACGAGTGTAAAAAAGTTTTCCAATGATGCGAAATCTGAAGGAAGAGTGTAAAATTTTATATTCGGCTATAAAATTCAAGTAGAAATTTAAATAATGAATTTAAACTTCAAACAATGAAGTTTGGTGGGGATCGTACGCCATATCTAGATCTTAGATCAAAAAGTTTTTTTAACGTAGCGGTTTCCTCTCCCTTTTCGCCCAAATTTTTGAGGTGATGAAATCCGTCTGAGCAAGAACTACAACATTCTG